CTGCTTCTTTAAGCTCTTCTCCGGACTCCATCACAGAACCAAAATCCTTCAAGGCAGCTTCACATGTTTCAGAATGGCAAGCAGCTATGAAAGAAGAAATTAGTGCTTTGCATACTCAGAAAACTTGGTCCCTGGTTCCTTTGCCACCTGATAAGAACCTAGTTGGTTGTAAATGGGTATATCGGATTAAAAGGGATGCCAATGGGTGTATTGCTCGATATAAGGCACGACTTGTTGCAAAAGGATACAATCAGGCAGAAAGGATTGACTACGGTGAAACCTTTAGCCCTGTGGTGAAGCCTACTACTATAAGACTGATTCTTGCTTTAGCTGCACAGTTCAATTGGCCTCTCAGACAAATGGATTTAAAAAATGCCTTTTTGCATGGCATTCTTCAAGAGGAGGTATATATGGAACAACCTCCAGGGTTTCAAAGTGCAGATCATCCTCATCATTATGTGTGTAAGTTACAAAAATCTCTATACGGGCTTAAACAAGCTCCTAGAGCCTGGAATGACAGGTTTACAAGCTTTTTACCTGGCTTAGGATTCAAAGCTTCTCATGCTGATCCCTAATTGTTTGTTCAACATTCATCCAAATGTAATGTAGTCTTGTTGCTCTATGTTGATGATGTGATACTTACTGGCAGTAGCTCTGAACTTATTTCATCTGTGATTAAGGGTCTCACAGAGGAATTTGATATGAAGGACTTGGGCCAACTGAATTATTTCTTGGGGTTACAGATTAGTTATACCTCAGAAGGGTTATTTGTTTCTCAAACAAAGTATATCAATGAGTTAGTTGCAAAGGTTGACTTGCAAGATTATAAACCTTGTGCTACACCTTGTTTACCGTATCATCGGTTACTTAAGGATGATGGCAAACCATACCATAACCCTGAGCAATACAGAAGCATAGTTGGTGCCCTTCAATATCTCACATTTACTAGACCCGATATTGCTTTCTCGGTGAATCAAGCATGTCAGTTTATGCACAACCTTATGGAGTCTCATGTAATTGCGGTTAAACGAATCATACGATATCTCAAAGGTTCATCAAGCCTTGGTATTCAGTTCACGCCAGGATCACTCTATTTATAGTCCTATAGTGATGCAGATTGGGCTGGGGATCCCAATGATCGTCGGTCTACTTCAGGATTTGTTATATTTCTTGGTTCAAATCCAATTTCTTGGTCATCCAAGAAACATCACACCGTTTCCAGGTCTTCCACAGAGGTTGAGTATTGTGCCTTAGCCATTACAGCTGCAGAATTGGCTTGGATTCGACATTTGTTTTGTGATTTACATATTTCTCTTTCAAATCCTCCACTGATCTATTGTGATAACATCTCAGCGATTGCACTTTCCACTAATCCAGTGTTTCATGCCAGGTCAAAACACATAGAGATCGATTATCATTTTGTACGGGAAAGGGTCATTCGAGGAGATCTTCAGATTCAACATGTCTCCTCTGCGGACCAATCAGCTGATATACTTACAAAAGGATTGTCAGCTCATTTGTTTCACCAGCACTGTGGCAATCTCATGCTCAGTTCTATTCAGCATTTAATTGAGGGGGGATATAAGGATCCAGGTGAAGATACAAGTGAAGAGAAGACCAAGGGTTAAGTCAAGTGACACTTGTCAATAGATTAAAAGGGCTGAGCTGTTATAAGTTGTTAGAATATAGTTAGGATAAGGAGATGGAAGATTAGCAGCTAAGTAAAAGGAAGATTATAACAACAATTGTAACCATAACTTGACAATCAAGAAATCAAAATATCTCTCTTACTCTCTTTCTCTCTCTCTCTCTCTCTCTCTTTCTCTTCGTATACAGTCTGTGTAAAGTTCTCAGGAACACATTGCATTGAAGCTTTCATAATCTTCATACAGAGACGATTTTGGCTATTTAGCCATTTCTTTTTACAGCTTTCATATTGTGCGAGATACATTAGGGCTGGTTTGGACAAAGATTGTAATGTGAATTTCAGCTAAGACTTTTTTTTTATTTTTTTTATAATGTTTTTGTATTTTTAACATAAACCAAGAGCTCCAAATTACCCCAATGTCGATCAAATGCTAATATAAACGGCAGCAATTCAACTCCAATACAAAGCAAATGACTTTAAGAGTGCGTCAAAAAAGTGTAAGTAATAAATAAGTCGATTACGTTCGTCTGAATAGCATTACTTTTGAAAAAAAATGTTATTTGTCATCCCACTTATGTGAGATCTTTTCAAGTTAGCCAACTCAAGTACTGCCATCTACGTTCTCAAGTTTGATATTTACCAACTAAATAAGTAACGTAATGTTGGGTAGACCAATTTTTTAGACTATATTTTGTAAGTTATGTGATGTGTCATCAATGGAAAATAAGATTAATCAACACTTAAGTAATCATTTAATCATCAACAATCATGACATATAATTTATAAGATATATTTTTAAGTAGATGGTTTCACTAACATAATTGATTCCTTAGATAAAGCAGGAGTTTATCTAACCATCGTGAAAGCAAATTATTGTTTCATCGTTTTGTTAAACATGACAAGAAATTATAACAGACTACTGAAAAAGAGAGAAGAAAGAATAATTCGGAGAACACTCAAGACCTTTTTGGAACATGGAATATATAGCAAGTACATCCTTATGGTGAATCAACCATTTGTTTGATCCAAATGAATGATTAAAAGATCTCTAAATTGAATTTTATTTTTATATGTGATATTTACATGATGATAAAGAGAAAGAACGGTTTTGTTTATGATGTTCGTACGGTGAAAATAGAAAAATTATAAGTGAAGGAAAACAAGTAGGTTTCCCCATGAGGGAACACTAGTATCCTTCCACTAAACCTCTTGAATGTAAAAACTTAAGGTACGTACGAAAATGTAATATTAAGAGGAACAATTTAAAGATGCAAGTAACAAGTAACTTACCAGTTTTTTGCTTTAATCAGAAAGCATGGGGTTAAAGATATGAATGGAGGACCTAATTCGTATCACTACCTCGTCCGTACAAAGAGCCCACAATCATTATCCTTTCACAAAAGCTCTTGTAACGGGAAAACGATCCTCTTTGGATCTCTCCTACCAAAGTCACCAAGTCCACTCATCTGTATCCTTGAAATTTAATTTAATGGCTAAAATTATTATAAGTTTTTAAGGAGCCTCCTGTTTGTAGCCGTTGGATCAAATTTTAAAAGTCCGGATAAGTGAACTTAATAACTTTGATGGGAGAGATCCGGAGATGATTTATTTCCTTGTAATGTACAAACTTCACGTACGAAATGTAAATATTAAGAGGAATAATTTAAAGACACAAATGGCATGTCTTGTCAGTTTTTTGCCCGGAGATGATTTCTTTCCCTTGTAATGTACAAACTTCACGTACGAAATGTAAATATTAAGAGGAATAATTTAAAGACACAAATGGCAAGTCTTGTCAGTTTTTTGCTTTGATCAGAATGCAAACACATGCATGGTTATTAAAGATATGAATGGTAGACTCCTCTTCTTATCACTACGTCGTCCGTACAAAGAGGAATGTGCTTTTAGGCTATGCGTTGCCAAAGAAGGCTAATTAGTCAAAATGATCCATGAGGTTGCATAACTCATCATTTTGATTTCTAACATTTCAAATCGATAAAAGTGGTCGCTGAGATTGTCCACCATCCATCATTTTGGTCATTCCGTTAAAAACTTTGTTTAAGTGTCCCGGAGCTCTTGACCGAAAGTTTGAATAATTTTCAAAGTTTCATAACTCAATCGTTTCTTAACTCAATTCGACTCATAATATAACAAAATGAAGATAGGAAAGTGTAGAATAAGATTATACCTATTTGGAAGCCCAATGGCTACCGGAGATAGCCGGAAAATAGCCTCAAAGTTGATTAGTCCGAAGAAAACTAGAAAACTCGCCAGAAACTGGGTAAACTTTAAACGTTCATAACTTCTTCAATACGCAATGAAATCAAGTGATTCAAAAACAAAAATCATACTTCTCAACGAGAAAAAGAGAATAGTACCTTTTTCAATGGCTAAATCGTCGTAGTTTGACCGGAAAACGGCTTGAAAGTGGCTGTCTTGGTCTCGAGTTAGCCACTTTCGAGCCATTTTTCGGCCAAACCACGGCGATTTGGCCATCTAACCATTCTTTTCGTCTCGTCGAAAAGTATGATTTTTGGTTTTGAATCACTTGATTTCGTTGAGTATTGAAGAAGTTATGAACGTTTAAAGTTTACCCAGTTTTCAGCGAGTTTTCTAGTTTTCCCTCGGACCAGTCAACTTTGAGGCTATTTTCAAGCCATCTCCGGCATCCATTGGGCTTCCAAATAGGTATAATCTTATTCTACACTTTCCTATCTTCATTTTGATATATTATGGGTCGAATTTGGTTAAGAAACGATTGAGTTACAAAGTTTTGAAAATTGCCCAACCTTCCGGCCAAGAGCTCCGGAACACTTAACGGAGTTTTTAACTGAATGACCAAATTGATGGATGGTGGACAATCTCAGAGACCACTCTTATCGATTTGAAATGTTAGGGATCAAAGTGATGAGTTATGCAAATTTCATGGACCATTTTGGCTATTTAGCCGCCAAAGAATTTCCTATCCCTAGAGAATTGAGGACAAGTTAACCAGAAATTGCTCACAAAAAATTAAATAGGAAAGATTAGAAGATCCCTGCATTAGCATTAAATAAGCTTAATGCTTTTCTAATTTCGCCTATCTAATTTTATGTGATCTATTTTTTACTACGTACTTGAGCTCAATGTCTTTTGAAACTTAGAAACCTAACGTGGCCTTAAGAAATAATTTGATTCCCTGATAAAGGGGAAATTGGATAACCACAATGGAAGCAAAGTATTTCATAGTTTTCCCAAAGATGAGAATAAATTATTATTGACGACTGAAAAACAAAGAGAACGAGAGCGAGAGAATAATTATAGAACACTCGACACGTTGTTTTACAATATATATTTGGAATTGAATTCGGATTTGAATTGGAATTGAACTCTCTCTCTCTCTCTCTCTCTCTCTCTCTCTCTCTCTCTCTCTTCTATAGGTGTGAGCTTCAGTACTCGAGTCTCAGGTTAGTAGGGCTCCAGTACCTCTCTCTCTACTTGTGAATCAAACTTTTAGTTTGCAATGCACATGCATATTTGACTACTAATCATTGATATTATTTTAACAAGCTAGGTGGCTCCTAAATCTCGTGAGCAGAGGATATTGTAACATATGAACTTGAGTTATGGAGGTCTCCATTATAACCATAAGGTTCGTTTGTTTCTGTAACTTTAAGATCATTTCTTGTTTTCTTTCTTTTTGTTTAGGAGAAATTAGAATCCCAGCATTTTTTCAATACTTTTTAGATTAAACATTGGTTCTTTTCTAAGATTTGATTAAGAGGCTTTGACCAATTGCCACATCACATTTTTCTATTTTTTCAGTTACATATAATTAGCTTAAAGGCACCTTCACTTCACTTTGTAACTAATTGCCTACAATTAATTTCCCCCCTTTAAACTCCTACGATTTAATGACTCTTTCTATAAAAAAAACAATTAATTAAAGTAATTTAAACTCCTACATTTTAATGACTCTTTCTATAAAAAAAATAATTTATTCAACTATTAAAGTAGTTCCTCATTATTAGTAAAAAAAAGTACTAAAACTTATGGTTTGAAAACAAACTTCCTCAAAATTCAAATGTACAAAAAATTCAAGTGTACCAAAAACTAAATGTACCCAAAAATTTAAATGTACCAAAAATTCAAGTGTACTAAGAAGTCAAATGTACCAAAAATAACCAAACGTACCGATATAACCAAACGTACCTAACAACGACTTTTTTACATTCTATTTAAATTTACTAAAATAAATATTTTAATAAAAAATTAAAAAAAATGAAATCATCATAATAAGAGATGCATAAAAATAGGAGGAAAAAAGGGGAATGCAGTAAAGAAATAATATGAATATCCTTCTAATAAAATAAAATGAAATGCAATTAAACACCAAAATTGTAGGAAAAATATTTAATCAAATTTTCAAAAAGAATAGATGTTTAGTTTATAACATTTAAAAATGCCCTTTACCACAGTGGTGGAAAGATGTTGTATCCTTGCATGACGGCGTGGGTTCAAACTCTGTCGGTGACTAATCTAACATTTACCTTACTAACGCTATCGTTTCATTAAAAAAATGAGGGGTCTATATCAAAACGCCCCTGACTCATTAGAAAATTTTAGAAATATCACGTAAGTAACTTCAACACATTAGCTTTCTTCTCTTCCCAAAAGTCATTTTCCCGTTAAAAATGAAAATAGAGAAAATGAAGTAATAAGCCAGTTCAGTGCAAAAAGTAGGGTTTTAAAATATTTTTCATGTACTTATAGGTTTTACACGCTATAAGTTATTCATAAAAATCATATACTTGCAAAAGGATGTTATTGAGAATGCTAATCTTGTCTAACTATGTAAGAACCTATCAATTTCCTTCGCTAGGTATTGACTCTCAACCGGTCGCATTTCATATATTGGAAAATTTTCAACACTTGTCTGCACTCATGGCTCATATACAGATCATTTAAGGGAATGAATTTTCATTTTTTCCAAAAAAAAAAAAAAGGATTAGTTGTTTGACCCACGTACACCAAATAGAAACTTCAACAATTTGAAACCGTCAATTTATTAAGTCTCTATTTATTGACAATTCTTGTAAAAAAAAAATCAATTCAATCATAAACCATTTGACAATTTCATTATCACCATCAAATTTCAACGTTTCTTAAAATATATTGTTGTCAATTCCTTTGAACTCAATTTGAAATATTTGATGGGGAAAATGTTGAATGATATTATTTATAATATATTTACCGTGTCTTGTATAGTGATCAAGGTCATCGGAATACTTCAGATGAGGGGGAAGCTTCCAAGGAAGACAGAGGACACAAAAGTAGAACTACTGCAGAATTGCCGCCAACTGAGCCGCCACGTCACCAACCATTCTTTCCAAACAGGGATATTATCTTTATATTAGCATCCGCATTTTCTCTCTTCATTGATCCCTTGGTATGCTATATTGTGGTCATCGTCAAGGAAAACAATTGCTTCATTTGGGACCAATCGTTGACGTGGATATTTTTTTCTTTACGAACAATCGGGGATCTCTTTTATGGAATGGACATTGTTGTTTCTGTGATGATATTTCGCTCCAAAACCAAACTTAGGGCGAAGTCTTCTGCAGGGGTCTCCTCGACAAAAACTACTGACGATCATCGTATTTTCAAGCACAAGAGATCAGTTAAATTCTCATTAGCCATACTACTTCGCATTTGGCTGGCTCTTCCCGTTATACAGGTAAGACCTTAATTAAGAGAAGGTGATCTCTAGCAAGTAATTAAATTTTTTACATTTATCTGCATGCATGGATGATACCTAGATTTTATTTGACATGTATACATATTGATTGCACATGATGTAGAGGGATATATGTCAAGGGCAATCGAAAGCACTCCCCACGCTAGAATTCACTAGCAAATAAGCTGAAGCCTATCAATAATCCAGAGTCTCTCCCAAAAAATAGAGAAAACTCTAAAGTTGAATTGATTACAAAACCTAAGGCCAAGATGACCTATTTATAATGTGATACATCGAAAGTTACAAATAAAAGAGATCACCAACGGTCACCCTTAAATAGGCTTCTAGTACACCAGAGAATTGAGAAAAGCACTTGAATTTTTATTGATAATATGATAAGATGATGAAAATAGAACCTTAAAGTTGTTTATATAGTATTTGCAAAAGAAATTAAAACTAAAAGATTACAAAAGTTCCGAAAACACCCTTGTTTTCAACCCTTCAAAAGTTTTTAAAATGTCAAAATCCATCATATACCACAACAAAGCGGCAAATTGTATTTGTCTCGTCGTTCTTTTTCTGGAAAAGTATCATAGGTAGGACACTGAAAACCCAAAAAAAATACTATTCACTGCAGCTTGCTCGAACTTGTCTTTCGAATAAGCTTTTACAACCCCTCGTCATAATGGTTTTAACCCTAGGAATCTAGATAAAATTGGAAATAAACAAACAAGAAATATCAAAATTGTACTTAAAATAATAAAATCCAAATTAAATATGGTAAATAACATTATTCGCCTGAATTTTGGGCTCAAAACTGACAAGCCAAATGAAGGTTGTATTAATTCGAACAGCCTGAAAAGCCCAAAACATCCACTTTTGGGATATGAAAGCACCAGGTAATCTACTAACGCTTGATTTACCATTTCTCTAATCATTTTTCTTCATTAAACGTTGCTTCCTCCTTTTAATTTTATTGTATGTAAAATAACGTAATTCTTGTTCTGCATCAACACACTAATGACCCTATGATAAACCATGATGCTATATATTCTTGACGTACATTCCTATCAAATTTTTCATTTTTCTACCTACTCATGGTAGTTAGGCTGGGTTTCCTCTGTGGGTTTAAGACTTGACTCAAACCCCTCATACAATTAATTATTTGAGAACTTTAACGAAAATCTTACGGTATTATTCACTTTAACGAAAAACCACATTTTACACTAAAAAGTCAATCCTGGTACTATTCACTTTACTTTTTATTTTGTCCTCATCACTAAAACACAAAGTTTTCAAGCCATTTTCATTAGTTTTCCTTATTATTTTGACATTGTTTGGACTCGATTTTGCATGCATTCAGCCTATATATTCTAAGGGGTTGAATGAGAGAAGCATTAAGGATCAGGATTGGTTTCTAGATAAAGGTGGAATTAGTCGCATAATAAATCTAGGTTCAGCATCCTAGTTGAATGCAGCAAAATTTGGCTACGGTAAAGTTTCAACTGAGAATAATTCCCTGTATAGTCAAAATATATGTCGAGGAATTGGAATATTATCAAAATTATACCATTCGGTAGACTTGGCCATCACGGAATACATCAGTATAAATGAAAGATACCGTGCAACAAAAAAACCCTTTCAACTCAATAAAAAACTCAAAACACTCTACTCGAAAAGCCTCGTTGTATGCAACTTTCTCACAACCTTGAGAAAAAACACTAATTATCCTAACCATCTTGTCAACCCATCTTCAGTTTGGATAAGTAAACACTATTGTGTTGACAACCAGTGACATCTTCAGTTTGTATAACTGAACATCATTGAAGCCGCATAATCATTTGATTTGAAAGTATTTTCAGGTTGGATTAACAACACTGCTTCTGGTTGATTGGTTATCTATCCAAGTCTTGGTTGGCGAAGAGTTTCAATTTCGCCTAAAAAGGCAACTTCATTAGCTCCCTGGCGAAGTGAGGTGTTTTATGATAAGTTACTCCCATGTGCACCTCATAATTTGGCATTGTAGACACTCATTTCATTTGAGTATCTTTGCCCATGCAGCCTAATATCAATTTGGCGCATATGTATACTTACGAATATAGTTGAAGTTGCCGAACTTCTTGCAAAAGATCCTGAAATTGGTAGTGAATTAAGCAACATTGTATTTAGGTTCTAGAACCTTAGGTCGATAGGTGTTCGTTCCTTGACCATAGTCACTCAGGTGCAGAAGTCAGCAGTGCATTTGACACCACCATGGTATAAAAAATCGATAATATCGGCGAAATATCGCCGATATTATCGTTTTTTTGGAAGTCCGATATTTCTACACATATCCAATAGGTTTTCGTCAAAATATCAAAATAATATCGATAATATCGCGATATTAGCGATAATATCGCGATATTATTGCGACATTGCTTGAAGGCGACGCCGATGGAGTAGACGGCGACGGCTCGACGAGGAGGAAGGTGAGGGAGGAGCAGAGGCAGACGCGGACGAGGAGGATCGCGCCGATGGGGACGACGGATGAGAGGTAGAGGTCGCGGGACATATTGACGGGCTCGACGAGGAGGAAGGCGAGGGAGGAGCAGAGGGAGACGCGGACGATGAGGATCGCGTCGATGGGGATGACGGAGGAAAGGTAGAGGTCACGAGACATGGTGATGGGCTCGACGACGAGGAAGGCGAGGGAGGAGCAAAGGGAGACGCGGACGAGGAGGATCTGAGAGATGGATCGAGAGATGAGGGAATGGGGTGTGTCTGTGTGTGGAGGAAAGAAAAGGAAAGAAATAAATAATAGAAAATGAGGGAGTGGGGTGTGTCTGTGAGTGTGTATGTGTGTGGAAAGGAAAGAAATAATAGAAAATGAGGGGGTGGGGTGTGTCTGTGCGTGTGTATGTGTGTGGAAAGGAAAGAAATAATAGAAAATGAGGGAATGGGGTGTGTGTGTGTGTGTGTGTGTGTGTGTGTGGAAAGGAAAGAATTAATAGAAAATGAGGGAGGTACATCCCACGTGAAGAAGGAAGAAAGGTAGTAGAGAAATGATGGGTGCGGCAGTAATTCAGAATTAGGGTAGATTTAAAAACTAAAATATGAGTTTTACTCGAAAGTTGTAGTAAATCATTATATATAAATGATTATGGTGTGTTTAATTTTTTTTTAATTAATTACTACATATTTTCTTCACTCACAGTGTTTGCCAGCTCGCTGTATAATCAACTTAAATCAGTTAAATCCATCATGTAATGCATTTCCTTCCAATTTTTTGTGATAAACTAATAGATAATTGACTAAATAAACATCCTGCAAAGTTTCAATAAAAATTTCCAAGTTTTTCTTACAATTTCCGTGGTTTCCATGTAATTTTTATCGATATCGATATTATCCCGATATTTCCATCGATATTTCCGTGTTTTCGGACTACCTATATTTCCGATATTACCGATATTTTCTTCTTTGGACACCACCACCACTTCATCTATTTTACTCGCCTGACTAAGCTTGGTCGCTAGTTGGCACGCCTGCGTTCACAAGAATGACTTACTTAGCTCAATAGTTACTTAGCTTGCGTACTCTTTGTAAGTTTTAGGGTCAACATTTTGGCACACCTGATGGGACTTTGAGTGCTAAACCTACGATGTTCATATGATATATTAAGATTCCAATTCGGTTCAGTTTAGTCCAATGGATGACATCTAAGATCAACTAGAGAAACACATTTAAAAGTGTGAGGGAAATAAAAAAGCATGGGAAGCAAAAATAATTCTTGATGCTCATGAAAAGATGCGAAAATCCTTCACCCACATGTTAAAAATGAAAGCTTAAAGTACTGTACGAGAGCAACGGGTAAAAGAGGACAGAACCTTATTTAGTATGTGGCTAGATGAGAAAGACTTCCTTTACATTCTTGAATACAAATCAATTCCATTTGAAGCGTAAATGGATCAAAAAGCTTGGGGCAATTTTTAGCTTCGACGTAAACCTTAGCATAAGAAGATTGTCACTTAGGCCGAGAAAGAAGTTTGCCTACCTATTCTTTCGTATGAGATGGAAAATCTGGTTAGCTTAGGAAGCAAAAATTGGAATCTCTGAGCCAACTATAAAAACTGATCCAAATGATGGATTCTTCGAGGAATTTTCCAATAAAAAACCAGGCTAAAACACATCCATATACGCAAAAACTATGTCTGTCGATATGGTTATTGGAGATAAGGCCGATTTGAAGGAATCTCATTCAGCTAAATTGTTCAAGTTAAAAGCCAAAATTGGCATAGTGACTATGCTCGCGGTGGCTACGGGCATAATAACTCAACGCATTTGGCTGCCGAGAATCAAGAATGTTTAGAGATGATTATTTACTCGGCCTCGAACAAAAAATCAGATTAACAACAATGGATTTAATGATCTCGGCTCGGAATAAAGCATTGTTAATCTCCTTCTTATTATGGTTAAGCCACTTTCATTTTCGTTTGCTAGTAAAATAATAACTTTTATTTTCTGAACTATTTGGTTGTTTAGGATGATACTTAAGAAAATAATAGGGGCAACAAGTAGTTGTCTGCAAAAGAAAAAAAAGTGCAATTTTAATGGCCACCCATTTTAATTGGTAGGTCGTTATGCGGACTAGTTGGACCCAATTTTGCACGCACTCAGCCCATATTTTAAGTTGGTGGATGAGAGAAATAATGAGGATCATGATTGAATTCTGGATAAAGGTTAAATCAATCGTATAATTAATCTAGATTCAGAGTCCTAATCGAAGATGCAATACTTGATGACGAGATTGAGAATAATTTCGAGTATATTCAGAGAATATGCCAAGGAATTGAAATATTATTAGAATTATACCATTCAATAGACTTGGCCATAACATAATTCATCACCATAAATGCAAGACACCATGCAACAAAAAAACAAAAAAAAAAAACCCTTCAACTCAACAAACAACTCTTTGTGCGAAACCTTTCTCACAACCTTGAGAAAAACACTAATTATCCTAGCTTTCTAGTCAACACATCTTTAGTTTGGATGACAAAAAAGTATTGTGTTGACAACCTGCGACATCTTTAGTTTAGATAAGTAAACAACATTGGAGCCGTAAAATCAGGCGATATAGGAGTATCTTCAGTTTGGATTAACAACACTGTTTCTGGTTCGTTGGTTATTTATCCAAGTCTCGGCTAAAAAAGAGTTTTCAATTCTTTCACCTTAGACGTCACTTCATTAGCTCACCTGCATAATGAGGTGTTTTATGATCGATTACTCCCACGTGCACTTCATAGTTTGGCATTTAGGCGGCAGAACCATGTTTACCATATAGACACTTATTTCCTTTGGGTATTTATGCCTGTACATCCTAATACTGAATTGGTGCGCTTATATTCTTACGAATATAGTTGAAGTCGCCGAACCTGGTGCATAAGATCTTGAACTTCGCAGTGAATTACGTAAACTTGTCTTAAGGTTCTAGAACCCTAGGCCGAGAAGTGTTCATTCCTCGGCAATAGTCACTTATGTTTAGGAGTTAGTAGCAGAATAGATACCACCACCACCTTATCTATTCTATTCATCCGATTGAGCTTAGTCGCAAGTTGGCACACCTGCATTCCCAAGAATGACATAATTAGCTCAATAGTTACTCAGCCTGCACACCACGTAAGTTTTGTAATTTTTAGAGTCAACAAATGCCCTGCTTAAAAATTCGACGCACATTAGATAGATTAGTATGTAAATCAATGATTTAATAACATTGGTTATAACTTATAACTCAAATTAACTGTTGGTTGAAATGTCTCCAGGTAATATTGATCAGTCTAAAGTATACACCCACTGATGCTACAATGATTATTTTACTAATTCCAGTCCAATATACACTGAGGGCTTATAACCTCTACGAATGGCTTAATCGGCGTGCTAACGTAGAGACTGGAATAAGAAGATTGCTTTCTGTTCTATTAGACTTGCTTCCATTCACCACTGCTTCTCATGTAAGTTCAAATTAATCTTATTCCCCATTTTTTGGGAGAAAAATCTAAATTTTCACGTAAACTTATTGTTGAGATATATGAGTGTATATGATAATTTTTTTTAAACTAGCATGGTCCTCCACCAACATATTTACTAATATTGTTCTCAAGGTAACCACATATCACTAGGTGAGGGGGTTTTCCAGGCATCCGACTATTAGCATTGAACCTTCCACATATAAACTATAAATTATCTTGTTAAGTCTTTATGTGAGACTCTATTCTCTAGCATTAGGTATAGCAATGCTCAAACATTAACTGGTTAATTAGTAAGTTAATACAACACTAACCACTCGTTTAGGTCACTCCACAATGTCGTCATCTCATAATCTTTACCAACATTTTTTTAAATCAACATCCAAAGAAGGAAAAATTTCACAATAACAATGCAAATATAGCGAAATAATGTTCGATTTGGATAACTTTTTCAAGCTTGATCTTTCAATTGACTTAAAAATAAGTCAGTTGGATAATGAGATGATGCTGTGTAATAAGACTTAAACAAGTAATTAGTACCGTATTAACAAATTTTCCAAAAAAAAAAACATATTAACTTGTTAGTTCTTAAGGACTCTTATATGTATTAGGGTAAAATTTCTCGTATGATTTTGAATAAACAAAACATAGGGGAATACTAAATTGGAGTAAGAGCATGTTTACTTCTTTAAGGGCCATCTCTTTTGAGGGGGGTGATGCTTTTCATTATCTTTTATCTTTTTTCAATATTCTTATAAAACATTGACTATTAACTCTTTGTCTTGTTTGCCCTTCAGCTTTATGGATCCATGTGGTACATTTTTGCTGTGATTCGAGAGCTAGAATGCTGGCGGGCGTACGTCTGTAAACATGAAACAATATGTGACATTGACAGATTTTACTCTTACTTTTATTGTGGTCGTTCTTCTCAGAAAAACAATTTGAAGAAAATCAATGTCACTACCCCACGTGTACAATGCTCGGTAGAGCTTCAAAAGACTACGTCATCGTTCGCTTTTGATTATGGTATATATCAGGCTGCTCTCCAATCTAATTTGGCATCGTCAAGAGATTATCCAAGAAAGATCTTTCACTGTTTTTGGTGGGGTCTCCGAAACCTGAGGTTTGCATTTTTACGACTTTTTCATGTTCGATCACCTAGAAATTAATATGCATATTTATTTTGTAAACTCATCAGTGTCTTTTTTATCATTACCCTCTCATCAACTTCGTCTTTGTAGATAAATTCCATAAAAATTTCTGTCATGTTTTCTGAAAGAATGTCATCAATAAATATATTGCTCTCCGTTTCTTTTTTTTTTTGCAGTTCTTTTGGTTCAAACCTTCAGACTAGTTTCTTCCTGCCCGAAATCATATTTTCAGTTATGATCTCTATAAGTGGCTTGGCACTATTTTTAGTATATCTCAATTCGAGGGTGAATCAGGTTGGTGCGGTGATCAGTGCTTCTTCAATCAAAATTTTTGTCATTAATTAAGCTTAAGACTTAAAGCTCCTTCATGCAAATTTTTTTGTGTATTCATGAACTTACGTTATTTCTGGATTTAATAAACTCGTCATGAAATTGCTTTATAGATTATTAAACATGCAGGGATTGGAAAAAATAGCCGAGCAGAGCAGATTGAGACAGAAGATGAAAATGACATATTCAGTCTTAATAAAACAAACAAGAACCACGTGCCCTCTCCGCATGAGTTCACTAAACAAAGTATGCAACGAGAAATTTTTTAATGTAACGTGGAATCACTAAAGATAATATTCATCATGCGTAATTAATTGTATCTAATTATACACTGGTGTGTAGGTTCCAATTCTTGGAAGTACAAATGAAAAAGGGTTGAAAGCAATATCTGAGTATCTAAAGTTGGAGATTTATACTAGGGATATGTCTATTATTCGAGAGGGTGAACCGTTGAGGAAGATGCTGTTCATCCGGCAAGGCACTGCTTTGACCTACACAACTAGTAAAGGTAAAACAAGGGTTTGCAAATGCCTTGAGAAAAATGATTTTTATGGAGAAGAACTTTTAATTTGGGCATTCAAAGTTGCCTCATTTCCTGAGTTGCCTATCTGCACTACAACCATTGTGTCCCAATCAAAAGTTGAAGCATTTTCAATCACGGCAAACCACTTGAAGTCTATAATCGCTGAAGTTTGGTGGCACTTTAAAAGGGAGCTTCCTCACTCTCAGGTGGAGTATTTTGCGGCTTCTTCCATACAAGTAGTCTGGCGCGCCCACCACGCAAAAAAAGCTAAGAGATCAACTGGCTGGGACAAATAATTAGTAGATTAGTAAGAGTAAATTGGAGCATTTCTTTGTTGTGTGTGTTTTGAGTTGGTATTGCTTTTGTTTTGTGTGTGTATTTTTAGTTGGTATTGGTTTGGTTCCTCTTTATGTTGCTTTACTCGGCCTGAATCGGTTTCCCTTCAATGCGGTGGTGTGTCTTTGGCTTGTGTTATGGAAATTGTATAATCTTTGACATGCATGAGAACGATATTCTGAATTAAAAGCTCAAATTATGGATCATCTTCAAATTGGACATGGAGGGTTGGAAATGGTGTTTTACCATTTTATGTCTATTGATATTTGTAGCATAATATATGAATAGTGGTGCTGGTATTACAATAACTATGTTGTTTTTCTAACCACTTGAAGAGCGCCACCATGCAAGCGATAACTAGCGTACTCAAATATACCCATTCATAAATCCTCCCCAAAGGAGTGGTACGTACCTGCGGGAGAATAATTTAACAGGTAATAAAATGACATCCCTAACCTTGTCGAAATTTTTAGGATTAGTTTGGTATTGTTGTGTTTTTTTTAATTGTTTTTGCTGTGCTGTGAGAATAAATAACTGTAAAATAAAGTTGTTGAGAGTTTGGTAAACTTTTTTCGTAAAAGTGTATTTCACAAAAAAAAAAAAATCAGTGTCTAAGTATTTGGTAAATTTTTTATATAAAACTGCTGTAATTATATTAAATGACTAAAAAAGATATGGTATTGAATGTAATATAATAAATGTAGGGGCAAAGGTTATAGTTTTATAACATATGCAAATGTGTATTTGCCATTTGAAAATTTCATTAAATGAGAACTATTCACTTGCAAGCTTTAAAAAAAATACTTTTTTAAGAAGCATAGTAGACTCTGCTTCTGCTTTTCTATGTTTTTCTACTATCAATGACAACAGTATTTTAAAAACATTTGATGTCCCTAGTTTTTAATAAGTTGTTTTTTAGTAAGTCTTGTTTTTTTAGAAACATCACAACCTCAAACCAGCCCATAGGGTTATAATTGGAAATCCAAAACAATCACATGCATGCATGGTTACCCCAAGGATTGCATGATGATTGTTTTTGAGTTGCTAATAAACAAATAAAAACATGCATATGCACCATAGTGCGAGTTTGATCTCCATCGACCATCCTTCTACCTACAACTAACTATCTAACCAACTAACGTTATTGTTTGTCAGAAAAAAAAAATAGACAAGCCCATTGGACTGAAGCATCATATATTCTTTTTAGGCTGAAAAAGTAGCAATTATTATCATAAAGGGCAGGAGCCCAATATGCTAAAACCCTAGCCCACCAAAACCCTCTTCAGTAGGGGTGGGTTCAAAAAATCGAAAACCGAAAAAGTCGAAAACCAAACCAAATCGAAACCGAAAAAATCGAACCGAATTGAAAAAACCGAATTTTGGTTCGGTTCGGTTTTGGTGATCTAGAAACCGAACCAAACCGAACTGAACTGAATTAATTAAATTAATTTTTTATTTAATTATTTGTTTTGGGTATTAGTTTCTAAACCCAATTTGTAAGTTAAAATATGCTAAACCCAATGTGTTGCCAAACTTTAATCTCAAAATATTAAAAAAAAAGGCCTATAAAAACTCTAAACCCTAACCTATTATTTATCCCCCATATAAGGTTCTAGAACCAAACCTCCTCCTGAAGTACCTACATCCATCTCCATAGCACTGTCTACTTCTGCCCCAGCTTTCTTTTCCAAATCTACTCTCATATAACATGTAACAGAATCCATAAACATTTATTTCATGTAGATTACTTGGGTAATTTGTGATGGAAAAGAATTCAACACACACTAAATAAATCCACCCACGCATTACTTTTTTACTAATCAAGTTGTCAACATCCAGTTACAAGCAAACAACCTTGATCTTTGAACAACATCATACAATTTAACTTTTATAAGTCATTTGTACGATTTTTGTGTTGTGAGGTTGTTAGTTTGGACTTTGGAAGACTTGATTGATGATTTTTAAATGTTTATTTGCATTGTCTTTGATTCTAGTTAGAATGCTTATGTTATGATTGTGTTTGATATGTTAAAATTTTAAATTTCAATGTTTTTCATTTTTTGAAAAAAAAAAAAAACAAAAAACCAAAACCGAACCGAAAAAAAACCGAACTGAAAAAAATCGAAAAAAAAATGAATCGAACCGAACCAAACCAAAATTTCGATTTAGTTTTGGTTTTGACAAAAAACCGAACCGATTTAAACAGCACCCACCCTACTCTTCAGTTTTGCTTTATCCTCTTTCCTTCATCAGCGTCTCTGTTTCTGGAAAACCTGCAAAATCAGAAATGGTCAGAAGCATCAAGAACCCCAAGAAAGCCAAAAGAAAGGCCAAGGCCAGCTCCAAATTCCACTACCTCCTCCGTTGGTTATTTAATTATTTTAGTAAAATTAGGGTTTTATCTTTTCCCCGATTGATTCGATTGAATTGACTTGAATTTTTGTTTAGGGCTCAAAGAAAGGAGATGGGTCTTCTTCCTCTTCGAGACCGTCGATGCCGGCGAAGGTATGGCAACCGGGAGTGGACAAGCTGGAGGAAGGCGAAGAGCTCCAGTGTGACCCTTGAGCTTACAATTCTCTCCATGCCTTCCATATCGGTTGGCCTTGTTTAAGGTAGCTCTGAATTTATGAATTCTTCTTTTTGGTTTGCATAGAAAGTGCAAGAAAAGCATAAAGTTTGAATTATGGATTGTGGATTCGAATTATTGGAGCATGATTAGCTGAACTTAGGATAACTTAATTGAACTAAGCTTAACTGTAGCTTGTGTTAATAATTACAATTTCTTCTTTTCGGAAATGCTCGCATTGTACTCGTAAGTCGTAATATTGAATTATGTTTTGAAGTTCCAGTTTTATACTTAATTTGCGGGTAATGGCTATAGTTAATAATTAAAGTTTCAATCTTTCCAGGAGAGTTATAGGTTTCTAGTTCACCGCTAAAAGTGAATTTCTTTTTACAGCTTTGATATTGTGCGAGATACATTGGGGTTGGTTCGGACAGAGTTCCCCCATACCGTGTATTTCGTTGCAGGGACTCAGGTGAGCTTTATCTTTTTGTTTGTGTGACTGATTTATTTATCTAATTTCTTTTACCAAGTCAATATTGATGGTGAAAACATAAACCTGTGGTTCTGCAGGCAGAAAAAGCTGCTTGGAACTCTCTTGGAATATTTAAAGTATCTAACATTTCCGGGAAAAAGCGCGAACTAGTGCCAGCTAAAGCCGCAGATGATGACTCTAATATGGATAGTGAGGACAGTGATAGTGATGACGATAGCGAGGATGAGGAGTCCGTTGGATCTGGTACACCTGTTTTGCAGGCAATATTTTTTTACATCCTACACTTGATTCAGCTTACCTTCATCTTTGTTAATTTTTATGTCATCTCTGTGCATTTCCATTTTTCTTCTTCTCATGTACAGTTGCGCAAGGTAGCTCATGAAGGATGTGTTAATCGTATACGCGCCATGACACAAAATCCACATATATGTGCATCTTGGGCAGACACTGGTCATGTGCAGGTCTGACTTATGTCAAGAATATGAGTATATATATCATGCTGATGCTTCAATAATGACAATTTCCATATACTTTGTACGTGACTAAATCCTGCTACTCGTTCAGATTTGGGACTTCAGTTCTCATTTGAATGCTTTAGCGGAGTCAGAGACTGAAGCTAGCCAGGGAGCTTCTTCAGTTTTTAACCAGGCTCCATTGGTTAAGTTTGGGCATAAAGACGAAGGGTTTGCTCTAGACTGGAGTCCACTTGTCCCTGGAAGGCTTCTATCTGGTACTTACTGTTAAGTTACTTTAAATTTTTTTTTTTAGTTTTCTTTATCAAGTGTATTTAATGGTATATTGCTTTCTTGATTTGAAACTAATGATTCATTTACATCTGATTTTAAAAGGGGACTGCAAGAATTGTATACATTTATGGGAACCTACATCTGGTTCGACATGGAATGTTGATACTACTCCATATATTGGACATATTGCAAGCGTAGAGGATTTACAAGTAAGTAACTAAGATGGGACGCTAAAGTTTGATCTGTTGATATAAAGCATATGTTCAGTCTCACGAACTGAGTAGTTTTCCTTAGTATTTTCCAATTCTCTAACAGTATTTTGTGTGTTCAATTTTATCTTTGCAGTGGAGTCCTACAGAACCTGATGTATTTGCCTCTTGTTCTGTCGATGGGAATATAGCAATATGGGATATCCGCATAAGGAAAGCACCAGGAACTTCTTTTAAGGCGCATAATGCAGATGTGAATGTTATGTCTTGGAATAGGTGCTTATTTAACCTTCGCTGTTTCTTACTTGTTATTTGTTTCGATATATTTTGTTCCACATGAAATGACGACCTTGGCATTTCATTGTTTTTTTATTAGGCTGTGGCTAGTTGTATGCTGGCATCTGGAAGTGATGATGGCACCTTTTCCATTCGCGATCTTAGATAGCTGAAAGTACGTCTTGTTGGAATTCCCCCGAGTGTTAAATTGGGTTCAATGAAATTGTGTTGAGTGATTCATTTAAGTTGATAATTATTGAATTATATAGCCCTCTTCCCTCTATTTAAATGTAGGAAGGAGATTCAGTAGTGGCACATTGTGAATACCATAAACACCATATCACATCCATCGGGTGGAGTCCACACGAAGCCTCCACTTTGGCCGTGACGTCTTCTGACAATCAGCTGACGTAAGTATGTTTAGAGACAAGATTGAAGTGATAAATGGCATGTCCTACACACAAACTTTTACTTGCCTGCTGTTTATGTACGAACTCAATATATGTCATTTGGCTTTTGTTACCAGAATATGGGATCTATCTTTGGAAAATGATGAGGAGGAAGAGGCAGAATTCAAAGCGAAGACAAAAGAGGAAGTGAATGCTCCAAAAGATTTACCTCCGCAGCTTCTATTTGTTCATCAGGTAAACATTTCCGACCGACTGTTCTACTCCAAGAGCCCCCCAGTTTTTCAGCCATTTAACTCGTGGTAAATTATGGTAAACAGGGACAGAAGGACTTGAAAGAACTTCATTGGCATACTCAGATTCCTGGCATGCCCGTTTCAACTGCGGCTGATGGTTATAATATTCTGATGCCTTCAAACATACAGACTACCCTTCCCTCTGATCTCTAATGTTCCTTGAAACTAGAAGTTTATCAGTTTCTTTCGTGCACCGGAAAGTAGATATATATCAGATCATATTCCAATAGTGGGATGGCTTATGCACCGAAGCAATTACATATTTGATGTGAGTTGTTTTCGGTTTTCGTTTTCCTACCCCTTTTTGGGGGGTTTGGTTTGGTTGTATGGAGTAACCTCTGCAATTTTGACTTAATGATTTTCGCAGAACCAGGTGTTTTTGTTGATACCTTTTCAATATCTTCGTCCGTTGAGTTAATTTACTTTATGCATCTCCTCGGATTTTACCCATATTTATTTGGCAGTAATCGTCGGTAAAAAATGTGTAAGAAAATGGAAACCGTAAGGAACAGAGGATTCAAAAACTATGTCAAAAATGTGTGAAAAATGCAGTTTGATGAGATAGCGAACATCACTAGTGAAGTGGACATGATTTCTTCACGAGGCCGACAAAAATGGTTTCCGATGACGATGAAGTTGCCGGCATATCTTATCTTAGCATTGTATTTTTCAACACCCGCCTACTTCTATCGATCTTCTCTAAGAGTTGACGGGCTTCCCATTTAATTTAGGGAAAGGATCTTGCTTGCTCAAAACCACAACTTTGCTCTTGTGAGCAAAGTATCCCTTTACAAGATTTTGGTATATTAATATGGCCACTATGCACTCCACCTGCAAATTACACCAGAGATTTGATTAGAGCGAAAGAGACGGAGAAACCAAGATAAGCTACCAGAGAGAGAGAGAGAGAGAGAGAGAGAGAGAGAGGCGGACAGAACAAGTACCTCATCGACATCCATGGCTATCTCAAGCCATTTCAAAGCTTTAACAATTACTTCTAGTTTCAGCTGATGAGCTTTAACCGGGTCCTTTTGCTTTTGAATGAAGTAACTGCAGAACGAGCATGTGGAAGTTATGAACTGAATCTTCAGAGGAATTTTACCGTCAATTTTACAAAGTGGAATGAGTACTTACATTTTCTTTATTAATCTCTGGTAGACTTGGAGTTCTAGCTTCTCTAGGACAAGATATACACCTGATCGTAAGAACCTGTTTCATTTTGAAGAAATTAGTTCCATCTTCAGAAATCGATTTTACCAATCACAAGATTTCCAAATAAAAGATACATACCGATCTTCGTGCTCTTCAAGAGCATGCCGAAGAAGTTGAAGATCGCCTCTTTTTAGTGCTTGTACAACATTCCTATACTGCGGAAGCAAGAAGTTATAAACTAGGATTTAGCCACAACTTTGGAAAAGTGGAGGGAGGGTATGCTAAAGTCAACATTCATCTTCACTGAGACACTAATAAATACATTTATTTATCATATAACCAACATAGCTGAGGAATACCAGAATATCTTATTTCCCATCATCAAGCATAAATAATCTCTCTTGCAGTTAAAGAAATAACATTTCCGACATACCTCAACCAGGTTATACTTTTCCAGAAGCCAATCATTTGGTAAGATGCCTAGTGAAAGCTTCACAGGTATCAAATACTTCAATATCATCCTACGCAAATACAAAAAGAGAAAAAAATGAGTCGGACAATAAAACATAGTACAACATCTAACAAATCTAATGTTTGACTTCCTATCGCAAGATGTTCAACGTCATACAAATAATAAGAGGATTCAAGCTGAAGAATATAAGGGCGCAACAACCACCTTTTTGCCTACAAAGATGCCTCCTTAAAGTCTATACAGATGCCAAATATGTGCAGCAAGCACATGTGAACCTAACCTTGTATTTGCTTCGCGCTGAGGGTTGCAATGCTTCAAGGCATATGATAATTTATGATCAGCCTGCAAGGTACCAAAAGGAGATTTAGTGAATAGCACACACCTGATGGAAACTCAGATTTTCAGTTCTAGCGCAGAACGTAGAAATAAGTGAAATCAGGCAAATTATCCACCGAGATCAAATCTTTAATTTGAGCACAAATCTTCTGAGACTCCCATGTTATTAGTTGGGAGAAATTTCTTTATTTAAAGTGATTGTAAGGCACAGGGTGGAACTGCTGACTTCTCTATCCAGTGTCTTGGTAGAATTCAAGACTCCAGATGGTGACCCCAAGAACCAAAACCATAACACCACTTAAATAGCTTAGCAAACAAGAAGCTTGTGCATCATTAACATCATGGAAATTAGGATACTTACAGCAGGGAAATTTTCATTGAAAACTTCTAGACGACCTGTATAATACATGTAGGCGACCTGCATTTCACAGTACAACAGCAAGAATAAACAAAAAAAACTAGTTGATAGAGAACCCATTGAAAAGGTGAGGGAGTACAAGAAAAGAAAATAGCATCTGCCCAAACAACGGCGATTCTGACCTTATCCCTTTTAGGGAATTCCTCAAAATCAAATATTCGCGCAGTTTCAATGCTCCTTATGACACTGCGGCAAAGGTGAACTGTACCAAGCTGCAAAATAATAAAGATAATTCATCATAATGCAGCTCAGACTTTTTATCCAGCATTCAGAAGAGGCCTAATAGCTAATTCAGAAAAGCATTGGCAAACTCATAAGTGTGCATTAAGTATTACCTTAAAGTAAACTTTAAACAACTGGCAAGTAACGTATAATGCTCCAACGCGTTTCGGGCCTTTTCCCTAAGTGGATACACCAATGAAAGAGTTAGCACTAGAGATTCAAAGCATTGTTCATAAACACCCAAGAAACTGTCAAATCTTGTTTTATACAAGTTTGAGTAAAGCAACGAACTTTTATTGCAAAGAGAACAAAATACAGAAGAGAGTTTAATAAGATCAGCGAAATTAATAGAATTTTAAAAGAAAGAATCTTACTGCAAGAACCCCAAAGACTTTCATCAGGAAAGAACCAGCTCCCTTCAACTTCTCTGGAGACTTTCCATTTGAAGCTAACTCCTTATCAGCCTACAAAACCACACATAACAGTCTTGCTAAATTCGTCTTCCAACACATCAATAACCAATTACAAAACAAAGCACATGTCTTTTAATTCAAAGGAAAGGAAATTGTGGGTCTTACCCTCTCAGCTAGAACCCTAATCTCATAAGCAATGACATACAATGCTGGCAAAGCCCACGCAGTGTCCCAGTTCCGGAACTCCTGAATAAAAGCACTGCACATCCACCACCAACATTAGTCAAAAACCACCACCACCACCACCACCCACAAAATTATACACACAAAACAGAATTAAATAAAAATAAATAATCAATCAAAAAGATCAATACTTTGCGGATTTTTCAAATGCTTGGTAGGAATCAATGGAATTCCCAATTCGGTAACTCTGAAAAGCCCGGAACAGATGAACCAGAATTTCGCCAAATTGCGAGTCGTTATCGGACTGTTTGATCAATCTATTGAAGTCCTGTCACGCACCCAGAAACAGCACCAATCAAAACCCCAAATTCCCAAATTGGAACAAATACAAATACGTATATAAACATTCACACTGGAGTAAATGTATTACCTGGAAGACATTGAGGGCGTCGGCGAGGGAGAGGAGAGCGGGGCTGTTGGAGGAGAGAGAGAGGAGGTTCTTGAGGGAAGCTCCGTCCTGGGTCGAAACGGCGTCGGAGAAGCGGTTGAGGTAGTCGGTGATTCTTCTATGAGCTTCTCCCATGCTCAAGTACGCCATCTCCCTCTCCCTCTGCTCGATCAAACACTCTCTCAGTAGCTGCAAGCACGCGCCTTTATCATTTGCTTACTATGTTTTCAGAAGGGCTGCGACGGCGTCGTTCTGCTCCACCATTGTTCTTGTTTTCCTGATTTTCCTGGAACGAACAGGAAAGGAAGGAGGTGCAGGAAACGACATGACGTTTCGCATATAAATATTTCCCTTTCCGTATATTTTTTTACCGTTTGTCTTGGAATATCCAATCCAAATGCGATGCGCCAAATTTGACACCAAAGTCGGTGTTGTAGAAACCTTTCCTTCCAGCTCAATTCAAGTCCACCAACAACCATTAACAAGTCGTCTTCTCCAAAAGCTGTGAAAGCTAACCTCCACCAAACCAGCGTCTGCAGCTCCACCCAAAGATTCAACCTTTAATCCTTGCTTCTCACTCCAACCCCCCACTTTCTCTCTCTAAACGCTTCACCTCCAATACCCACATCCCAAATTCTTCAGTTCTCCGACCCATCGAAGAAAAAACCAGAATCAATCACCTGGTTTCTTCAGATGGGTTCGGATTTGCCGCCCATGAAAGCCACTCCGATCCCCACCCACGATGAGGACTCGCCGGACCAATCGGAGGCGCTGCTCTCTTTCAACACAGACTCATCCGCCTCTCCGATCCCATCGTCTTCCCCTTCTCACAGACACAGCACCACTGTTATATTCATCTCTCTCCTCCTCACCACCTGCGTTGCTCTCTCCGCCGCTGCTGCATTTGCCTTCCTCTTCTTCTCCAACTCACCAAAATCCGCCCCCGTTTCCGACTCCTCGTCAGTGGAATCCAAGGCTCGACCTTTGAGAAAGCTCGATCATCCGGTGGTTCTGTTGGTTTCCTCAGATGGGTTTCGATTCGGGTACCAATTCAAGGCCCCGACGCCGAATATCCGCCGCCTCATCGCCAATGGGACGGAGGCGGAAGAGGGTCTGATTCCGGTGTTTCCAACTCTAACATTTCCTAACCATTACTCGATTGTCACAGGTCTTTACCCTGCTTACCATGGCATCGTCAACAATCACTTTGTGGATCCGCACACAGGGGAGTCCTTCTACATGGGAAGCCACGAACCCAAGTGGTGGCTCGGCGAGCCGCTGTGGGAGACGGTGGTCAATCACGGTTTGAAGGCTGCCACTTACTTCTGGCCTGGTGCTGAGGTAAATAAAGGTTCTTGGACTTGCCCTGATAAGCTTTGTATGCAGTATAATAGCTCTGTTCCTTTCGAACAACGGGTTGATGCCGTTGTGAATTACTTTGATCTGCCTAGTAGCGAAATTCCAGTGTTTATGACTCTGTATTTCGAGGATCCGGATCATCAGGGTCACCATGTCGGGTCTGATGACCCGGAGATTACTGAAGCTGTTGCTAGAATTGATAAAATGATTGGAAGGTTGATTGAAGGTTTAGAGAAAAGAGGGGTTTTCGAGGATGTTACTATAATAATGGTAGGTGATCATGGGATGGTTGGTACATGTGATAAAAAGCTAATATTTTTAAGTGATTTGGCCCCTTGGATTGAAATTTCTGATGATTGGGTCCAGTCACATACTCCATTGCTTTCCATTCGTCCGCCTTCGGGAGTTGATCCTGCAAATGTTGTTGAGAAGATGAATGAAGGGTTGAAATCGGGCAAGGTTGAGAATGGGAAGAATTTGAGAGTGTATCTTAAGGAGGAGCTTCCTAGTCGGCTCCACTATGCAGCGAGTGATCGGATTACGCCTATAGTAGGGTTGGTTGGAGAGGGATTTAAGGTAGAGCAAAAGAGGACAAAGCGGAGAGAGTGTGGAGGATCACATGGTTATGACAATGCTGTTTTTTCCATGAGGACCATATTCGTTGGGCATGGTCCTCAGTTTGCAAGAGGTCGCAAGGTTCCTAGTTTTGAAAATGTCCACATATACAATTTGGTCACGACGATTCTCAATATTCAGGGTGCTCCTAACAATGGATCTCTATCATTTCCAAATTCTGTTCTTTTGCCTGCTGCTTGATGTCCACACAAAGAGAATCCCGCTGGAGTCAGCTTAGTGAAGTTTGAGCGGTGGTTGGAGAGGTTTCGCTATTATGTAACCCGCAAGATTATGTGCTTGCGAGATTATGAGATCATGAATAGATTACGATCCAGCATAGCAGAAAGGTAGAAGTATCAGTTATTTCATGATCCCGGAGCTCACTCATTGCGACGTGCTTAGTTTCCTTAGCCGTGATCTGCGAGCTCACTTGTTGCGACATCTTAGTATCCCCGGCAATGTCGTTCTTCTGTCTAGTCGCTTCATGTAATAGCAGCTGTACCATGAACAGGATCCACCCTCTAAATGCTGAGTTGTAATTTTGTACTTCTGTAAAGAGACATCATTGGGTAGATGATACTAGTAAAAATTAGGTTCCAATTCCTGGGGACGACATTTCCTGGATTGAAACTTTGTATGTCTTTTAAACTTTTGATTGTGAAGTCCATTGACTTATTTCTATATCAGCATTTTATATTGTTTTATTGCAAATAAGAATTTAATTGAGCGTTTAACTACTCTCTTATCATCCTAAATTAATTGCTAGCTAGATATTTAAAAATTTGGCCCACCTAGCATTACCCTTTATATACAGTACGGATTTAAAGTCCAAAACCAACCAAGTACAGTAAACGTTTTTCTATCTTGGGTAACGTCGGAGCAAGGTTCGGATATCTTCAAGCAACGCACCTTCCTCCCCACCTGCAACCGTTCTCAGGCTATGTAATAAGCGCCTTCTTCAACACCCGTTATCAGGCTATGAAACAAGCGGCCTTCGTCACCACCGGCAAGCATTTTCAGGCTATGTAACAAGCGGGTCTGTCCAAGAACCCAATCATACTTAAAATCACGCCGATAGCCTGAAGCAAGAAAACAAGCACATAAGCTGACATGGTTAATTGCACGGCATCGCTATGAGAACAGTACATGCATGAAGAACATAATAAGTACAAAGTTTTCAACCTTTTCGATGAAAAAGGCAGCGAAAGAGCTTCCTCAGATAAGCATAATCTGGTTAGTCATCAAACCTTAACGTCCTGCAGTAGTTAAAGTATGCCGCAAATTCCTTCGGATAGCCTCGGCATAACTCCTATGGACGAATTAAGAGAGCAATGACTACTCACTACTTGCAAGTAATTTTAAGCATGCTCATTAATTGTACTTCAGAGGGCGAGCTTTGACGCAATGAAAATGTTGCTTTTTGTGACCGAAAGATTAGTATCCGAGCTATGAAAACATCTTTGCAAAACAAGGTAAGACTGCGTACGATAGACATTTCCACCCATCCCCCTCCCCGACCCTCACAAAGCGGGAAGCCTTGTTGGCTCGGGGTCGCCCTTTACATCAATTGTACTTCAATCATCAATATTTCAGCTTACCTCTATTGAAGTTGACTCTTTTATTTCACATTTCCTCTCAAACTCTTCATCATTCCTAGCATTCCCAGTACTTGCTGACACCCCTTGCCAAGGCAGACTGGAAAAGAACAGTTACAGACGAATGTAACTACATAGAATACTCCTAAAAATAACACAAGGCATAACAGGAAGGAACAAGATTTACCTTCCAAATAGAAAGTACATAAGCACATATCCAAGTGATTCTAAATCATCCCGGCAGCTTTGTTCTATGAACATGAAAGTAAAACTATTTAAAATCAGCCGGACGAAGGGAGAGGGAGAGGAAGAATACCGGAGGCAAGGGAAGATAGAAAGACGGAGAGAGAATTCAGTTATTACCAACGCCACGGTGAGTATTGATGCTTGAATACGTTGCATTAGGTTTCCACTTCTTACCTTCTGTGCATTATATACACGAGAACTCAACACTCTGCATTATATACACGAGAACTCAACATTAGAGACTCCGTAGCCATCAGTTTCACATATAACCATTAGTACACAATTTTTTTCATTTAGAGGTCGCACTTGGTGCGATGGCAAGTACCTTCGCCCATGAGCGGTAGGTCTCGGGTTCGAGACTTGGGAGCAGCCTCTCCATAAATGGGGGTAAGGCTAGCCGACATTTACCTCTCCCAGACCCTGCGTAAAGCCGGAGCCTTGTGCACTGGGTACGACATTTTTTAGAAAAATGCTAGTTTCTTAAGGAAAAACAAGCCACCAACCTGTAAGGAATATGCTGATGAGTTGATGTGTCTCTATACTGCTTAGCAAGACTGAAACTTCCAATGTAAACCTACACAAACGAAGAGGACGTGCGATTGATTCATTCAGAACACGGTATAAAACTAACTTTTAAGTTACTTAGGACATAAAAAAACAAACAAATCGAAAGACCTCACGCAATTGCTGAGAGGCAACAATGAGGAAGTTATTTGGCTTCATGTCCCGGTGTAGAAATGATTTGGAATGGACAAACTCCACCCGATTGATCTAACACAAATTTCACGATGAATATAATCAATCTGGGAGCATGAGAACTGACTTCAGAGAGAATTTCCTGCTGCAGCAGTTGAATAAAGTAGTCAAGACTTACTCCCATTACGTCCTTCACAAGAGCATTGTAGTCTCCTTCCACTCCAAACCATCTCACTCTTGAAATTCCAGCTGCCAAAGTGGTATACAGACCCCCACCGACGAAGAGTTAATAGAGGTTAGTACTAAACAATCAATAAATACAAATATATATAAAAAATAAAATAATTAATTAAATAAATAACTTCGGAAATAGTGGTTAAGGCCATTACCCTCTCCCTTTAGTTTTTTACACACCTTTGATTCATGCAGCAATGCGGGATGCTCAGTGTTCACATTTTCCTGAGAAAATTCTAGCTATCTTCTAGGGTGATAACTACAAGGAGTCCTTTCGATTAAAGACAAAATAGGCATAAAGATGAGCAACATGATCCAAATCCGCAAACGAAAGATGAAATCTAACAAATGAATAATTGAGTTCACAGTGTGCATCAGATCACACAACGAGATCGATTGTATTGTATCTCGAAAACATTGGCTTTAGTGCCACACTGCATCTGGTCAGTTGTTTCTCATGCAAGTTATGTTTTGGGTTTCAAGTTTAGGGTTTTGATTTGATTTTATGCACTAATGGAAGTGAAATTTGGAGTATTATCTCAACAGCTAGGGATGAGACCAAGGACCAAAAGTGCTTGGCAAGGCTAAGCGTCTTCTTCAACTTTTGACGAAAACAAAAAGGCACCCGTATCTGGTACTTCAATTATGATCTTTGAACTGCCTCCTTTCTGTTTGAGCTATTTTCTCATCAGTTTTCTGATTTGAGGGCACTACATTTTGGTTTCAGGCACTTGAAATAATGAATGGCCTTCGCAATTACGTCTTCGCGGAGTTTGGGCCTCTGCGCTTTGCGGAGAAAGTATTGGGATGATGCCGAAGAAATAGAATAAGACTACCCTATCAGCATCGATGACGACGATGAGGACGAGACCAATGTGGAGGACGGGATCCTGTATATGGACAAGTTTAGACTCTAAACAATAAAAGATACGCATTTTTCACGGGATAATACTTGGCTCAGGCCATGTATTAAGCCATTCATCTTTAGATGATGACGTGAGTTCTGATGAGTTTCAATTTGTTTGATTCGTATAAATGATTAAATGATCTTAATATTAAATGGATTTTTTAAGGGTTTAAAGATGATCCTTAGATGATTATAAAAAAATAGAAGATTTAATTATGACGTTTGTACGGTGAATTAGAGACAGTTTGTGCATATGATGTTTTACTTTAGTAACGAAAAGCAATTATTATGCACCTAATTATCACTCATTTTCTTAACAACTAACTACCTAACCATTTAATGTTATTGCTCTAGAATGAGAAGGATGAAAAGGCAAACATTCAAAATGTCACTAAATGCCCCTTCCTTCCTTATTAAAGCCTTTGAAAAAGACAATTTACTTAATAAGAGACAAAATAGTAATTCAAGACCGTTTAAAATTTGAATGAAAATTACACATTAAAAAAATGAAAAAGTACCCAGGTAGTCTGTGGTGGGCTTCATTTTCTTTTTTGCATATTTTAATAAATAAATATAATTTATTAAAATAAAATCTAAAAAGAATAATTTAACATAAAAAAAAGCCAATTGAACAAACACGTGAAATTGGAGAGTTCAAAAAATTAAAAAGTAGGAGGATCCAAACAACATCGTCTTCATTTGGAGAGATTTTTAATGTGATCGGAATATGGTGTAGTACATCATATGTTATTATACAAATAGTGAAATATATATATTAAAAAGTTAATAATTTAAAAAATAAAATTTTTGATCATTTATATAAAAACACGTGATATACTATTTGTGTTCCGATTGCGTGAAAATTTTCTCCACCCTCTGGTACCATATGGTTCACACATGCAGCAGAGCAGATACTATTACAAAACCCCTCTTTTTTTCCGAAAAGCCATGGCCTTTCTTCTTCTCTGCCTTGACCCTCAATCTCCATGAAGATTTGACCTCTCCCACCTCTTACCCTTTTCTCAGATTTCTCCAGAGCTCTGTAGTTTCCTCTTCTTTCTTTCAATTAAATGGCTGATGTCCTGAGATTACCATTCCATTCACTTCGTTTCTCTTCGTCTCTGCTCACCTCCTTCGCCTCCTCCGTAAGTTCTCTGCAACCGGGCCTCCCAGCCAATCAAAACCCATACAGGAGGGTTTATCCCCTTTCGTATTCGTCTGTTGCTCACTTCGCTTTCAGACCCAGAAAGCAGCTGGTTAATATCAAGGTAATTCTATCCATACTTGGCATTTTTCTTTCATTTTTTTGTTATCTGCTTAGTATTTGATTGAATTCACGATTACCCATTTGTTGAAATGTTGTAATTTGGCCGCATGTAATAGCTTTTGGTAATTTTGTTCGTGAATTGGGTTTCAATTGGCAAGTTTTCTGCAAATTAGAAGCATTTTTGGGAACCACATTTGTTGAAGTTGTCATATTCCATTGCATTTCGCTGCTTTAGCTGCCAAGTTTTATATTTTTGATAAGTCTGGCTTGTGGTATCAGTTGCCCAAAAGGAAAAGGTGAAAAAGGATGTCGAAAATCAAATGGAAAAAATTATGTTTTGTTAGTTTTTCCTAAGTTTGGGCTTATGCTGATTGCTGATGTTGTGTAAGAATGTTTGTGTAATAGGTTATTGTGTACTGAATGCAGGTACAGGCAACTGTTGCCGAAAGAGACAAGGACCAGCCAAAATGGTGGGAAAGAAGTGTTCCGAATATGGTCGACATTCATTCTACTCAAGAGCTTTTGAGTGCTTTAGGCCAAGCTGGTGATAGATTAGTTATTGTAGAATTCTACGGGACTTGGTGTGCTTCCTGCCGTGCATTGTTTCCTAAGGTAATCTCACAATTCAGTTGCTTCTAGTTGCTGTCTGCTTGAAAACCTTTGATATAACTCCTGAGACGATAATTCGTAAGCTGTTGGACATTACAACAAGCAGTGAAGAAGGTAATGTCCATGCACATATATGTAAATACATGTGTGTATTATAGGACTGGTGTCATTGTAACCTTCCTGGATTATGCTTTCTACCTTGAACCGTATGACTTCAAGTTCATTAGAATGGTGTGATTCCAGATATCAATGTGCCCAAGGAAGCAGTGTCATGTCTTGTTGGATAAACCGGGACTAATTTCTGTCAGATGAGTGTTTATTTTTATTTTTTTGTTCTTATACTTTTTTTTCTGGTTATATTGTATGCTGCCTATGTTTTAAAATAACAAAGAAATACGAAGTTCAAATGCTGTAAATATGTTTGTGCAATTGTGCTCCATACGGAAGTCGATTTTGTTGTTATAAATTGGTCTGGACATGCATCCTTAATGGCGTTCCTCTTTATTTCGAGAACTGTGTCTTATCTGCAATGTCAGCATAACGTATAAACTCTTAAAGCATTAATATTTTTCCAACACTAATTGTAGGCCCTATGGTATAAACTGTATTAATTGTTTCTAGATGGTGAGCTGCTTCATTGTATTTGGAACGTTGCCTTCTGTTATCTAGAGGTTGACATTTCATGTGAAAAATTGTGACTGATCAGAAATAATCTGCGGTAACGGATTCTTGAAGAGAGGAGATGACTCTGCCCAAATTTCAACTTAAATGTTTAGTTGAATATAAGAACCCTTCAATTTTGAAGTTCATTTTGTCTGGAACTAATGCTCTTCAATCGAAACTTAAAGTTGAATGTATCACACTCTTTCAAATTTGCTTTTATATGGTTGAGGTGCTAAGTTCCTGATATTACTGTTTAATACATGTGTCAGCTCTGCAGAACAGCTGAAGACCACCCTGAGATTTTATTCCTGAAAGTGAATTTTGACGAGAACAAACCAATGTGCAAAAGTATGAACGTGAAGGTGCTCCCGTATTTCCACTTCTATCGTGGATCAGAGGGACAGCTTGAATCCTTTTCATGTTCACTTGCTAAGGTAGTTCTTGAACTTCTTTTTTATCAGTTAGCTACTGGGAAGAGGAGCGGAACAGAATATTTCTAGTCTCTCTTTTGCTTTTTTTATCTTTAAAAACCGAGTACATCCTCCGAAGCACCTAATTTTCTGAAAATGGTAACCATCATTGGCTTAAAACTCCAACCCCGATTAGAAAGCTGAATAATGCGGGGATTATAGTAAACCTGATAGTGATACTGTAAGAGACAATCACCTTCCGTTATACTCTTGTAAGCGTGTAGAATTTTTACGCGGGTAATGGGGATGCCCAAGTTTTAGTATTACTTTAATGCTTTTAGGAAGTTTCACATCCATTTTCATCTGAAACGACCTGATTGTGTTCATAATCTTCTGCAGTTCCAGAAGTTAAAGGATGCTATTGCATTACACAACACAGCTCGTTGCAGCATTGGTCCTCCGAAGGGAGTTGGAGATCTTACACTGGAACCATCCTCAGCTCCGAAGGACAAGCCATCGGAATCTGCCTCGTCATAGAACTCGTTCGACTCAAGCAATTGTAGTAAAGAAAACAGGTCCATAGCATAAAGCCCCTCGATAGTCAGCTTACGCTTTCTACTCGTATTCTGTATATTTTTTGTAAAAGAAGCCAAAAGCACAAGTTGCTATTTTCTGCCACCTTGTTTTCCATTCTTGTTCTGGATGTCATGTATGTAATTGAAATTTCTGTGGATAAAGAAATTCCAGGTACGTAATATGATATGAGTGATTCTTTTTACCAGAGTTTTGGACAAGTGAACATCCAGGTTTAAGTTTGCCAAACATTTCTAACACCACCAACGAATTTGTTCACATCATGTACTCAGAGCTCGAATTTTGTTTAAATTATGGCACGTTTAGGAAGTGCTTTTAAATGGCTAAAAGTGTTTTTAGAAAAAATGCTTTTGAGCTCAGTCCTTTAGTAAAAAAAAAATGTAGGTTAATTTTGAGAAGTACTTGATGTGCTATATCTATATGCAATAAGCACAGGAAAGAATTTTAAGTGCTTTTCAAACTCAAAAACATTTTCTTTAAAAACATTTTTCAAACTAATCCTTAGAGTAGTTTACAATACTCACCAATTTTCAAACCAATTTCAAAGCTTAGGGATTATACGTCATTGGATAAATCAGTTTTTGAGTGAG